AATTTAGAGAGTCTTGCTCTGTTGCCCAGGTTAGAGTACAATGGCATGATCATAGCACAGAGCAGCCTTGGAATCCTGGGCTCAAGCAATCCTCCCAACTAACTGTGATCATAAGCACTTGTCACCATATCCAGCTAATTTTTAAAAATTGTTTTCTTGGTAGAGACAGAGTCTTGCTATGTTGCCTGGGATGGTCTCAAACACCTGGCCTTAAGGAATCCTCCTGTCTCAGTCTCCCAAAGTGCTGAGATTACAGTCATGAGCCACTGCATCCACCAGTATTTTTTAAAGCTCCCTGGTGATTCCAAATTGCAGCCAAAGTTGAGAAGGGCTGGATAAAATGTTCCCTGAACATGTCATGCTAATCCCTGCCTCTGGGCTTTGCTCCTGCCTTCCTGTCTCATATGCTCATATCTTTCCCCTTTTCTCTCTCTCTCTCTCTTTTTTTTTTTTTTTTTCTTTGAGGACCAGTTTAAACTCTACCTGAAGGTCTGCCCTGACGGCTGCAGGCTGTGTGAATCTCTTCCTTCTCTGCCCTTTCTGACTCTGTCTATGCCGCGGTCATATTATCTGAGGCAGCCTCAGGGTCATGGTTGATGGTTCCACAGAAGGGAACCCTAGCACTTTAACTGCACTATAAGAATCCCAGAAGAAGGAAGCACATTGTATACTTTTACATCCTGACAACTTCTGGGCAGGATCTAGAACACATAATAGATGGCTAATAAATACACGTTGCATTGGAGGCTGCTGCTAACATATATCATATCTTTGGGGCAAGTTTGGAAAATGCCCAATATAGGCTAAAAATTATACAAAGATTCCCTTCCTTGGGGGTCCCTGTAGTTTCTGTACCGGGAAGCATGGCTGGATATGCAGACGGTGGGTCAGGTTTCAGCCCCACACAACCCCTTGCCCAGGTGCCCCTGCCAGGGCGTAATCTGAATGCATGGCCTTCCTGCAAACTAAAGCAAGTTTGGTGTGGGAGACAGTGACTCAGGACCCACAGTGAGGCTTCTCCACATGCTGCAGCCTCTTCCTGACTAACACAGCTTGCCCAGGTTTGGGTGTACAATGCACACACACAACAGTAGCTCCCTGCTATCATTTGGATTCATTAAAAATAAAATCATCTCATAAACTTGCAAATGTTGATTTTTAATTATTTTTTGTTTTTTGTATTACAAAACTTTCATATTTCCCCTGTGTAGAAAAGTATAATTTTGTATGTGTTTCTTTACGTGTAAGGTACGAGTGGCAAGAAAATAAAATCTTTACCTGTTACTCCTAGTTTTTCTTGGGCTGGGGAGGGGCAGTAGGGCTGGAACCAATCACTGATGGGAACCCAGGCCCTGGACTGAAATTTCCTGTGAATGCTTCGGCTAACCCTGTTGTGGTGGATCCTTTAGCAATTTCTGTCCCAGGGAGGATTAAGGCAAGCCAGGGTCCCTGTAGTCCCTCTGGGGCTGCCCAAAAGGTTTTCCTTTCTATGACAGGCCATGGAGGAGCTGGTGGATGAGGGGCTGGTGAAAGCCCTTGGCATCTCCAATTTCAACCACTTCCAGATTGAGAAGCTCTTGAACAAACCTGGACTGAAATATAAACCAGTGACTAACCAGGTAAATTCTCTTTAGTATAAGGTAAGGGTCTTGCCATATTACTTCTTAAACATAGGGAGGAACGTTCAATGCTATGCCCTGAGTCTCACCTCAGGGGTCAGTGATCAGGACACTTGTGGGAGGTGTGAGGCTGATCTCATGGATTTTTTAGCAAGAATCTCAGTGGGTAGGTGTTTAGCCTTTGCTTGGTGGTCTTTGTGTGTGTGTGTAGAACTCCCTATGAACAACTCAAAAAGCCAGCCAGCTTTCCCCGTGAAGAGGATTGTTTGCTGTTGCAGGTTGAGTGTCACCCGTACCTCACGCAGGAGAAACTGATCCAGTACTGCCACTCCAAGGGCATCACCGTTACAGCCTACAGCCCCCTGGGCTCTCCGGATAGACCTTGGTGAGGCTTCCAAGTGGTGGATCCTTCTCTTGATACTCTTAAAAACATTATTTTATGTTTGGTAAATATTGGTATGAGACCATAAGTCACTGGAAAGAAAAATGTGTGTAAGGTAATGCGTTTGGTATAACCAAATGGGATGACAGTGGGAACAAATGGAATTAAACAACAACAAAACAACAACAACAACAAGGGCGACATGCTTAACCCTCTGGGAATATTTCCAGTTCAACCACCCAAAAGTGAACCAGGCTTTGCAAAATGCTGAGACTTCAGAGCCCGGGGGAAGGACCCAAGCTTCCAGGTCCTCCTGCCTGTCTTCCAGATGGAGAGGCTCTGATGATCAGTCTTGAGACCCTCATTGGAGTGGTGTCCATCTGTACATGGTAGCCATGGTGATTGTTCACATCAGCATCTTTCTGCCTCTAGGGCCAAGCCAGAGGACCCTTCCCTGCTGGAGGATCCCAAGATTAAGGAGATTGCTGCAAAGCACAAAAAAACCGCAGCCCAGGTGCCATATTTTTATTTTTCTTGTTATCCAACAACTCCTTCTTCCAGTCTTATGTTTCATTTCTTGTGTTGTCCTCAACTAACTCCTTAAAGGGGAAGAACACATGAGCTGAAACCATCTATAGTGATTCCTTCGAAGTCTGTTGGAACCTCCAGGAAACACAAGAGC